AACAAAGAAGAGGCTCTTTTCCTTTTGGCTGATGTAAGTGGAGTGAAACATTATGAACTCATGCAATGAAAATGTAATAATGTATGCCTTTCAAATATTACATTGTATTGTACATTAATTTGAACATATTATTGTGTGTGCGTGTGTGTGTGTGTGTGTGTGTGTGTGTGTGTGTGTGTGTGTGTGTGTGTGTGTGTGTGTGTGTGTGTGTTTGACAAAGACATCCTTTCTCGTTACTGTCTTCCTAGGCCCTTGTTTGCCTTGTCTGTCCCCGGAAGGCTTATTCTGCTCTATGGCCTCACCAAGACACACACACACACACACACACACACACACACACACACACACACACACACACACACACACACACACACACACACACACACACACACACACACACACACACACACACACACACACACACACACACACACACACACAGGTCAAGAGTCCTGTGTGTGTGTGTGTGTGTGTGTGTGTGTGTGTGTGTGTGTGTGTGTGTGTGTGTGTGTGTGTGTGTGTGTGTGTGTGTTTGTCATGATGAGGTAACAGTCTGAGTCCTGTAATTAGCCAGTGTTTTCACTGAGTTCAGGTTCCACACCCCACACACAGCACACAAATGAAAAACTTCTCTCAGGAATCCACAGCCGACTGAAACTGACCCTCAGTCTTTGCACATGCATGCACATGTGTGAGCATACAGTACATATCTGTAAGGACTCTGTGTTCACCCTAGCGGTTGTCCAGAGGGGGAGTCTTTTAGAGATAGAGTCCCTGAAGGACAAGTGCAGCTGAGACCCCCTATTTTACAAGAAAGACATGAATTTCCCAGGATTTGAAAGGAAGGACAGAGAAAGAAAGTAAACATTTGAAGTGACACTTGGAAGACAACTACATTTGTCCAAGAGCCACATTTCCAAATATGTTTTAAATATGTTTTTATAAAGGCCTAATCAGCCTCTCATTTAATCTTTTTTTACTTTCTTACAAAATGAATGTCTATTTTAAAAGACTGAAAAACAACTACAAAATCTAGCAAAAAGCTGCAAAGATACCATGATAAGTTTACAACAACCAAGCATGGGCAAAACAACCACAAAGACACACAAAATGATCAAGAAAAGACACAAATTGAATACAAGGGAGCACAGTATGAAACGGACACAAAATGATCACTAGAAAGACAAAATAACTAAAGAGACACACACAATTACAAAAAGAGGCAAAACAATTGATTTATAAACAGCTGATGTAAATCACCTAAAACTATTTCTATATTTTTTGTTTCCTTTAACCAAGAAAACATAGACACAATACGAGACTAGTGTTGAATGTTTATCTGTAAAGAGTTTTGTCTGGAGTCAGCAGTAAAACCTATATAATATAAGATGTACTTTATTGATCCCAAATTGGGACATTTCTGAAATTTACGCCAGTGTTGTATGTCATCATGCTCACCTGTATAACCAAAAATGTCATTTGTTTTCTCAGTATTATGTTGTCTTCAATTGTTTTCCATGAAGAGAAACAAGTAGATGAAGCACAAAGGCAATTTTTCCTGAAGAACACAGTGAAAGTTAACACGCTGCTTTGCTCTCTGTCAGTGGTGTATCAGGGCATGAACATGACCGCCTGTTACCCCAGCGTGGGACAACATGACATCCAGAATGATGGCAACGCTGTGGCCATCATTGGAGCAGCCATCATGTACTGCTGCGTCCTCTTTGCATGGTGGGACGTCTCTATGAACATCATCTATGTTTAAATAATGACTCTATACACTCTCATTACCATATACCATAAAACATAATGTTTCCAAAAATAAATTGCAGAAATAACTCTAACACTTCTACACTTTACATCTTCTTGAAGAAGGAAATATGTGTGTGTTCAAATGTAATTTCTCCGCAGTAATGAAGCTTCCTACCTGGCAGAGGTGTTCGGCCCGTTTTGGATGATCAAAGTTTATCGCTATGAGTTCCAGAAAGCCACCTGCTTCTTCTGCTGCCCTGAGGAGGAGGAAGGTTTGTTCTGATGACGAGAATATTATAAATCTGTTTTCTTAAAGGTGCTTGGTGAGGTACTTTTGCATCTATATTGTACTCATTCAGTAATATTAAGATGAAAGTCAGACAAGAAGGTGGTTCAGGGTCCAACATCCAGGCAATTCAAGCTATGTTTGGATAATTGTTGGGCTTTCGTTTCATGTATGTACGTTTTACATACAAACAAGAGCGGGAGAAATGTCAACCACAGAAATAAAAAAGATGGTGTCATGGACTAGAGTCAGACGGTATTAAGGTTGGAGGTTGTGAAAAATGTATGTTTGCAGTATTCAGGCACAGAAAATGTCATATCTGGGTGAAAGACATTATTGAAGGTAAATGTATTTGTTTGTATTTTACAAGGCAGGGCAATACAAATAACATCAAGCACAAATTGCTAATTGCTGCGACCAGGTATGCGCATGGATGTATAAAGAGAAGTGGTTGGAAGAATGCTCCGATTCATTAGTCTGAATGATGCTCAGTTAGGCACTACCAAAAATCTTGACAACGGAGAATAAAATCATCGTGATCTTCAGCATCAATATGTTGAAAATGCAAGCGCTAAGGTTATTTATAAAGGAGGGTGGGGTTAAAGTGAAGGTGGCGGGGCAAACTGTAATTCATTTCTGTGTTCAGTTAGTTGCTGCAACCATGACAGTTGTTTGCATATTGACTATTTAAGGATATTTCTTTAAACCAGTGTTTAGTGGCCATTAGAGGGCTATAAAAGTTGATGAAAGTAGCACCCTCAACAAGTATGTACTTTATATTCAAAATCTATTTCAACCTATACTGGATGGGTAGTACATCAAAACATTGTCCTCATAAGTCTTTAGCTGCTCTGCAAATTAAATTGAATTCTGCATGGAGAGATTGGTGGTCCATATTTAGCTCTGATTCCTGCAGTGTGTACAAGTTCACCATTTGAATTGATCTAATATACATTCAGAGATGTTTGAAGTTGGTTGTGACAGTTGCACATGTTCCTTTTCAGCTGAGGAAGAGTTTGTGATGGAGGACGACAGCAAAGGCTGTCAGAAGGTTGTCCACAACGAGACGCAGAGAGTGGCCTACAGCTACTTCTTCTTCCACTTCGTCTTCTTCCTGGCCTCGCTCTACGTCATGATGACCCTCACTAACTGGTTCAGGTTAGTTTATGCTATGGGATATGAAAATTAGAGTGGGAGTGAAGGATCAATTAAGGTGAAGAGTAGTATATTTTTTATTTATAGTTGAAGGACGGGGAATATTTTTTGTAATATCTATTTTTATCCGTGGATGTAATAAATTACATTTATTCAAGTATTGTACATAAGTTACATTAGGAGAAATTTGTATGCGATAATACACGCTGCAGTTACGAAACACATTGTGGGTAGGGATGCTGGGGTCCTGATGTGTTTTGGTAACGGCTAAAAAATTGCCATGTTATGGCACTCCAATTATGTCTTGAGCACAACCTCACAGAAAATAAAAAGAAAGTGTTTCTATTTCATTTGTGAGACTGTGGAATCACGCGACACTTGGAAGAGTGAAGGGTAGGGGATGCCTCTTTCCTTTCCTTCTTTTACTCCTTTCTCATCTTCACCTTATCTTTGTCAGATTTCTGTGAGCTGTCAGCTGATTTTCCAGAACCCTCTTTTTGTTTTTTAACTGGCACTGCATGATTTTAAATATTGTCAGCTTGGCCTCACTTTCAAGCTTCTTCTTACACGAGAGCTTCCTCCTGTAGTGTTTTAACTTCCACTTTTCTCTGGGTTCTCCATGTCAGCTGTTAAGAAACCTTAGATGTGTGAGATGTAGTTTTTACTTGGAACGTGTTTTCTAATACCTTAATAAAATGCTGGGGATTATTCATAACATCTCTGTATAGCTTTAAACAATATTCAGTTATGCTGGTTATTAATGTGTTTTCACCAGTCCCTAAGCAACTTATGGTTTCCTGCCTCAAATTGTGTTGTCCTCCTGCAGCTATGAGTCAGCAGTTTTGGAGACCACCTTTACCCACGGCAGCTGGTCTACCTTCTTGGTGAAGATGTCGTCGTGCTGGGCCTGTGTGATCCTCTACCTCTGGCTGCTGCTGGGCCCTCTGTGCAGCTGCCAGTCCGAATCAAGACCTCGACGCTCACGCATTAAACGGCGCTCAGGATTGTCCCGTCACGTGCACGTCAGTGTGTGACACGCTCTGGAAGAGGAGTGAGGCGGACATGGCACGATGTGGACGAGCGATCATCTCCCCTCGGTGGCCTGCAGGAGGGGGTTATCAGAATTGAAGTTCACAGGCGTCAGGGGTCAAAGACTCACAGGGCTGTGAATGGACCAGTCAGAGTGCTCTGTTGATATAAGACGAACTGGATAAAGACTTAATGATGTCACAGGCTACATGCAGTAAACCACTAGTGAGGACCTGACTGTGGTTTGGAAACAGAATTACAGTATGAATTGCCAAAGGGATCAGAAGTAATATGTAAAATGTGGGAATTATACTAGGTAGGTTAAGATATGTTAGTATTACATTCAAATATTGACTGTGTTATTCTTTAGGAAGGTGGCTTCCATATACTAGCAATAATAATTCTAGAGGCCAGTATCCAACTGTTTGTTTATCTTTCTTTTTTATAATAATCTTCCCTAAAAAAGAAAGCCCTGTTAGTCCTCTAAACTTAGATGATGGTTTTGATCATGAACAAATCTTTCTCAAAGTTGAGGATTGATTGCATTGACTGTGTTGGCTCAAATATGACCTCTGATCCATGATATAGTCCTGACTGGTTGCAAATGTTTGCATTGCACGGGGAGATTTGTTACAACTATAGAAAATATATTAGGTAAATAGCAAGGTAGATATACGCCAGTGGTGTCCAACTATATGAGAAGGTTTACCTGGAAAGTGGGGGTGGACCAAATAGGTGGGCAATGTAATGCAAACAGAACAGAACTTCACAACAGAACAGAACTTCAGAACATACAAGGGTCCAAGAATGACTAAACAAAAGACAAGATTTAAAAACAACTGAACTAATGACGGGATGAAGTGCAGGTGTACTGGAGGACAGGTGGTTAAAGGGCTAATGGGAAACAGGTTAAACTAATAAGGCCAGAGCAAACCATCAAAACAGGCTGAAAAAAACACACAAAGACTGGAAGTAAAAAATACATGGCATTGGGAAATCGTCAAAATAAAACACTAGACAGATAATACATAAAGCAAGATCATACTAGTATTTTTTTAACCAAACGTAATCCCAGATGTTGTCTCTATGATTCGCTCTGATTTCCAGTACAAAGCAGAAGAAAGATTTGTTCATGTGATGAAAAAAAACCTGACGTGTCCAGGATCACAGGGATTCTGTTTCAGTATTTTCTCTGCATTGACTGAGGGGCAGCTAAATAGAAATGTATGATGTTCTTTAAAAGTCAACACAAGGCATTTTTTTAAATTGAGGCAAAAATACTTTGCATTTGATTTACTACGAGGAATATGTTGCATGCTCACATTATGTTGCTCTACAGTTCATCATTCACTTTTACTCTTGTTTACATTTTGTTTTACATTTGTTACTCTCTTTTGAAAACTTTAAACATTTGAAACCATGAGTGCTCAAAATCAAAAAAGTACTACAAGTCTCTTTCAGAGGGGATGGAAGCTTTCTGTCTCACGCCTTCAAATGCAATAGTCATGTCTGCTGAGGTGAACTGTGTGATCTAAAAAAATCCTCCCACATGTTTGTGTTGATGTTGGTATGTGGAAACCTGAGGCCTGAGGCCTGTACTACGAAGCCGGATTTTCGCTTAGCGAGCTAAATTCAGGGAAAGATCTGGATTTCCGGTCCTACGAAGCTGGTTCACTTCTTAGCGGGCTAGATCTCCACGGTAATTTATGCTGAAAGGCTAGCCTGCTCCGGAGCAGGTTAGGTTGCAGAGATCAACTCAGTGAAAGCACCGCCTGCTGACCAATCAGAGCTCCGTGTGCGGAGAAAGGAAATACAGTTTAGACTGCCGTTGTGTGAACGTGAAAGTTAATAGAATATCAACTCCCATCTTCAGAGCAATCTGACTATTATAACATTAGCGTTAAGAAAGCTTACTTAAATATCTACAACACAATATAAGTAACCAGATCAAAGTAAAATTACGTAGCCTCCAGTCCGCGGCACTGAGTGCAGACGTCGATGTGTCCCATTATCATTCATATCACATCATATGCCACATCATAATGTATCATTTCCTTATCTGAGTCAGTTTCTTGAGCCGTATCTGTCCGTGCAACACTTACAGTGTCACATACTGTATCCAGAAGTATTATTTTAAGCAACACATTAAGTTGATGAAACACTTGAGTCAAATGTAATTAAAGTCAGATCCACTGGTGTCTTAGACGCGAGAGCGCGTTTTTTTGGATAAGGTAAGCCAACTAACTCAAACATATCCAGGGTATGTTGAACTGGATTCGTAGTACAGGCCTCTGGGAAAGAATGGTATCTGTTGCATTATACGTTGGCCAGGGGGACATTATTTGTGGATGCACAGCTGGCCCGCGGGGACGACAGGAGCCGAGGGACCAAGCATGAGCGTCAATTCTGAAGTTAGCACGGCTAGGATGTTGCATTGTATCTTCTGGAACATTACAAGTAAAGTATGTGAGCGTAAGATAGAGTGTGTCGTTATTATCAGTATAGTACACAATACATATTGAAACATGGTGGCAGCAACACAAATCCAGCCCTGGAGAACAGTGTTCTAGCGCAACACGAGGATTGAGTGAGTGGCTAGCGAGAGGGAGCTAAGAAGACAACCCGAGTGACAGCGCGACGTACGAGTGGACATGGAGAATGCAATCAAACCGCCGGGTAACATTTACTTTGATGATGCTAACTTGTCACATGCGTGGAAAAGATGGAAGGAGGAATTGTGTTTGTACATGGATCTAAAAACTGCTGTACTACCCTATTGGAGAAATTGTATGTGCAACATTGGGAGTTGGAAGAAATGAAGAAAAATTGTACATAGATTAAGTATTGGCAGCATTGGATGCATGTTGTGACCCTAATAAGAATTAAACTATTGAAAGATACAATTTCTTTACAAGAAGTCAGGGCCAAGAAGAGAGTTTGGACAAATATCTAAAAGAACTGAGAACGTTAGCAGCAACATGCAACTTTGGCATTATTTCAGACTCTAATCAGAGATAGGATAGTGTGTGGAACATGGGATTCAGAATGACTTCTCAGAGAAACAGATCTTACATTAAATAAATGTATACAACTAGGGAGGGCATCAGAGCTTTCCAGACAGAGAAACAAAATCATAGAGGCACAGAGTTCGCTGAATGTGCATGCAGTAACTACAAAAAGAGAGACAGAAAAGAAAAAACAGAAGCGGCGAAGAAGTGAACACCATTCAGTGTAAATTCGTGGGCCGGAGACAGGAAAGGAAAAAGGAGAAATGCCCTGCATATCCGACAAAGTGTAAAAAGCATGGAAACGCGTAATCACTTTGCTAATTGTGTGCAGAACTCAGGTACTGTAAAAAAAACAGGGTGTTTGCCCTGTTAGAGAGAATGCAGCAGAGCAGTCACGACGCAAGAAAGGTGATGTGCATCAGCTGGGATCCGGTGAGAGGTCTACTGTGAACACAGTTAATAGTCAAAAGGACTCAAAGGGACCAATATGCCACTGCAGGTAAAAAAGCAACGTGTCATGATTTCATGTGGACTGTGCAACATGTAAAATGTTATTCGCAGAAAAGTTTGGTTAAAGGGTCCAACTGGACAATGCAGCAGAAAGTTAATAATGTATAATGACACTTCACTGAAAGCCCCTTGGAAGTGCACACACAGTGTTTAATCCACGAAGACAAGAAATCTTACAGGCTTGAGTTTTGGTTGTCAAAGCAGAAAGAAGCTTAAACCTATACTCTAGGAAAGATCTGCAAGTGAAGGCAATGGCAGTTGATAACAGGTACAGCACCACAACATCCTGATTGTGGGAAAAAGAGGAGCCTGGACAGGGAGCCAGCTTTAAAAAAGAATACTTCAGATATGATGTTTCGAGGTGGNATACATAAATATGTGTCCCCGGTGTGTCAGGGAACTCACGCAGCGTCAGAAAATAAAACCCTCTCTCTTTTCCTCCGTACCCAAATCTCTAAAAACGGGCCCCGTTTTTAGAGATTTGGGTACGGAGGAAAAGAGAGAGGGTTTTATTTTCTGACGCTGCGTGAGTTCCCTGACACACCGGGGACACATATTTATGTATAAAAGACATCAAAAAGTGCATTTTGCATAATAGGTCCCCTTTAAACTTAAGCCATGCAGCTGAAAGAATAATACTCTGAGTGAAATTATTCTTATTGTAAAAAGTATCATTTGTTCATGTAGGATTGTTTCGGTGTAGATAATATAAAGAGGACATATAATGCTCATTGTCAAGTTCATAATTAGTGTCTCTAGTACAGTGACATGTCTCCATGCTTTAATGTTCCAAACGCTCTTTATTGTTCTCATACTGCCTGTGCTGCAGCACATCTTTTCACCCTCTGTCTGAAACCAGAGCCCAGTCTGCTCTGATTGGTTAGCTGACCTGCTCTGTTGTGATTGGTCAACCGTCTAGAGATGTCCAGCCCCTTAGCCTATCACTTACAATGTGTTGGAGCGCTAGCCAATAGAAGCGTGAGTGTTACGTAGTGATGTCATTGTGTTATGGAAGTAAACAAAGGTGTGAAATTGAGGCATTTCAGGCAGGGGGAGTGTGTGGGAGAGAAACTCCTTCTGGAGGGATCTTTGGGATTGTATTCTTTGCAGACCATTCACGTGCACAAAAAACTATTTGACACACTACAGGAACATCCCCAAAAAGAATTATAGGGCCTCTTTAAAAAGGCCTACATGAGAAAACTTCAATATATTTAAATAAATATATATCTTTGTATTGAGGGCAGGTGTCCTACAGTTTTTTTCATGTATCACCAGTTTGTCTTACACAATTAATAAATGTGCAAATTAAGGATTTATAACCGTATGTAACCACATATTTAATCATCTTGACATAATTTAGGACGCTCTCACTCACCAGTTGTTGTTCCAGGTGTGCGCAAAAGCTGTGATGAGGATGAGCTGGATGAGGATGAAGGCAAATCCTCCCACCACACCCACATAATGCCAAGCTGAGGGAAGAGAGGGAGAGAAAACCATAAAGGTTGATTTATCTCAGGGAAGTGAAAGAGGGAGAACTAATCAAAGAGAGAGACAAAGAGAAGCAGCTGTGAATAATAAATCAGCTCTGATATCAGGCTTGTTTCACAATCAGGTTTATTGTTCCCAAACAAAGTGAAATGAAGCTGTAGAGATTTATGGTCCAATAATTCACAGCAGTGAGTCATATAAAGTGTTATTAGGTTTTCAGGAGTGGCTCTCTGCTGTCCTCTAGCAGCACCCAGGAGGAGGTGCACTAACACCATCATCCCCATCACGTTTATTCTCAGTATGGATTTATTTTCCCTGCAGTTTCTCACCATGCAGGAAGGACTCTGTGGGGATGAAGAAGGCGGCCATGCACATCCCGAGCAGAGTGATCAACTTCAAGAACCAGAAACTGCAGGAGACACAACAGAAATAAGGGTTATTAATATTGTCTCTGTTTATGTCACATTTTTCTTTCTTTGTTTGTTATTTGTCTTCTTCTTATACACATAACTCTGTGGGTTACCAATTATAAATCAAAAATAATGGTAAAAGTCATAGAAAGTGTATTATTACTACATGATTATATCATTTAGACCACAAATGGGGTCTTTTTTATATGACGACTGACCAGTGTGAAATAAAAATGTACATCATAATTGTGTAACTTGCTTGAGTTGAGTAGTGCTTGTAAAAACATATAAAATATAGTTTGACTACTGTTTAAAATCCAAATAAAGTATTCAACATATGAACCCTATGAAGTTATAAACAAGTATCCATATACTGTAGGAGGAAAAGGGTGTCCAAGATGGTACTTTTCAAATATAGATTCAATTTTAAAATATTGAAGTCTGGTTTGTCAGTAAAAAAAAATGTTATACATCAAACAAACAAGTAATTTGGAAGACTAATCATTCAGAAAAAAATATTCTGTGCTTACCGCAGGACAACAGATTTGTTATCAATATTAAAATAATTTTGAAACAGTTAAGAGATTGTTTCATGACTATAAGAATTAGCATATATTGCATATTTGTATACCAAGAGTATTTGCTGACCTACATTCTTATTCTACATTTAGATCTATAACATTTCAGTGATATTTGTGAATACGTTTCTATGATGAAAGAGGTTTTGTGTCTGTACTGATACCCCTGCAGGTCCATGTGTCTCACCCAAGGTTTCAGAGGGCCACTGGGTCACTCCCGACCATAACAAGCACAAAGAGCCGTAACCTTTGCCAAAGACTCTGGTAGATTTATAGCAGTGAGGATGAACAATCCACTCTGTCAAATCCTAATCTGAGTGTTACCAGCGCTCTAATCGGCTGTAATGGAAAGTGTGACAACAAAAGGCTTTAAATAGACCAGCAGGCGGGGCCAGGAGGTGACCAGAGGAGGACAACAACTAGTCTTTACACATTGTCCTATTTTCAGATGTGTTTATTTCAAGAGAGGCTTGGACTATTCTGGATGGGCAACCTACTGTATTCTGATTCAGGAAAAAAAACATCCTGTAAGATATTTCAGAGAAAATTCCAGTGCCTTATAATGTTTTGGTGGTCCATTTTCAAATTCGAAGTTTTCAAAGAAGCTAAAAGGAGCAGACATCTTCACCCCTTTATGTCTTAATGAATGATCCCATTTTGTCAGTAGGTTTAATAAAAAACGCACAAATCCACCATTACCAGCAGTAAGGACTGTTATGCTGCGTTCATATGCAAGTACAAAAGTCATGGATGGAAATACTCTGAAAAATCAGTCTCAATTTTTGTTTTGTTTTCTCAGTAGGAACATGTTGTGAGGTGTACTGTGCACTGACCCGTTGTGTATGAGCGCTCTGTAGTCCTGACTGGACTTCACGTCTATGAGGAAGATGGCCATCATCAGGTAGAAACAGGAAGTGCCGAAGCACACTCTGTAGACCGCCGAGTAACCCACCAGCATCTCACAGTGACCCCCGCCGTGCGCCTGGTCACACACCATGTTGAAGAAAGGCACCTGACACACACACACACACACACACACACACACACACACACACACACACACACACACACACACACACACACACACACACACACACACACACACACACACATATGTTTTTATCTATTTTCATACTCAAAGCTGTCAGCAAAAGCTATAAAAAAATAAACCGACCACCAACTTTATGGCCTTTGTGCAGATAATAAACAGGCTCAGTCAGGAAATAAGGGTACGACCTCCTGAAGTCACATTATAGTAACTCTGTTTTGTTTGGTTCTCATGTCTTGTGGCCTGTTGACCTGCAGCAAATCGCACACCATCTCAGTGTATAATTATCATATTTGGCCCCTGCCAATTCTAATTGAATAATTACTTTACTGTATGTTATTTTCTGACAGAAATGTTGTACAGAATAGTTATAGAGTTCTGTTGCTAGCTGTCAATGAGATTATTGATTGTTTTGGTTATAGTTCAGTACATTGATTTGATTTGCTTTATAGAGGATGAGATGTAGGGCTCACATTTTCCCTGACGAGCTCGGAGACGGTGCGGGACAGCATGAGGCAGGAGACGGCGCAGCTCATGATGTGGAACAGGGTGTACATGATCCGCGTGGTGGTGGACGATTGCACCGGAGGACAGAAGGCACAGCAGAGCGAGCAGGGAGCCGGTCCACAGCAACAGCAAATCTGAAGAGGAGGAGAGGAGAGAGGCAGATCAGCATCTCACACAAACACAACAACAAGTCTGACAACCAGGAAACACCAGAGGTCGTTGTTGGCTCAACCCTTTGCACTCAGGTCCTGTGTATATGAAGGAAATTGATCATTGTGACAATTTTCCAACTGACAGTTTCTCCTGCAACTTGCACAGAATGAACAGCGTGAACATGTAATACTTTTTTGTGGCATTTAAAAAAAAAACATACATTTAAATCTTTGCTCTTGGGGGAAGGTATCAAGTGTTTTCAAGTCAGGTCCAAAGCCCAATTCCAAGTGGAAGTCATCTGTGTTCACAGGCAGCTCAAGTTGAAAGTCTTTAAAAAAGAAAAAAGTTGAGTCTAAAAGTCATCAAATGTGTGACCTGAATCGAGGCATGTACTTGAGTTGAGTACAGGCCTCTGAAAAACACACCTTTAAATGTAAGAGGGTGACAATAAGGAATCTGGGTTTTCACACACATGTGAATAAACATCCATGAGGCCAAGTAAAATAAATGTACATTTTTTTTTTAAAGCAAAAAGACCACTGTGTTATCCATCCCATATGATGTATGGGGTTGGATGTATTAGAGCAGGGGTTCCCAACCTTTATTGTGCCAAGGACCGGCAGATACATTAAAAAAGATTTGCGGACCGGTTGTCAATTTTAGCTGATTTTAATATTTACTCACCAGCAGGTGGCAACAGAGGCTAATTGTATTTAACAGCCTGAAGAAATACCAATATGCGTCCAAAAAATATTAACAACGTTTAAAACCAGGATACAATTAAAACAAAAAATTAGGATCGCTTTACAAATATTAATATAATATATAATATAATATAGCCTAATATAGGTGGCAACAGTGACTAATTGTATGTAACAGCCTGAACAAATAATAGAACAATATGCATCCAAAACATATTAACAACGTTTAAAACCAGGATACAATTAAAACAAATTAGGTCCACTGTACACATATTGATATAACTGAACTGTCAGGGAGACCCCTGGGCTTGTTTGCCAGCAATAATAACGTCATACCGGGGCGTTCGTTCCGGTGCACTCCGACAGCATTTAGCACTACATCGAGATTAAGATTAAACTAATTTATTTTGGGAACACCCACATACCTATGGAGTTGGCCAGATGTGTGTAAATTACTGTTCATGGTAATTTGAAAACAAATGCCGTTGTTGGACACACACAAACACACCAAACATACACACACACACACAGCGGAGCTGAGCAGAGCACATACACACACAAATCATGCGCCTTTGTGACCGGACATTTCCTTCATACAACGAGTAATAGGGGGAATAATCGGGCCGTTCGATGTGTGTGTGTGTGTAGAGGTGTGTGTGGTTGAAACGTTGCTACGTTTCAACCACACACACCTCTACACACGCCTCTACACACGCCTGCAGTGGGGAGCACAGTGAAGGCGGTGTGCACGCGCTGGTGCTTCACTTCTCAGAGGCTCAGATGCTGCAGCCATTTCATGAAGTGAAGGAGG